AAGGTCTGAAAGCTATTCAGCGTTTTCTTGGGTTCTCCAATTATTATAGACGTTTTATCAAAGGTTTCTCGTCCATTGTAGCACCTATTACCCATATGACTAAAAAGGATGGCAATACTCGTGTTTGGTCTACCGAGGCACTTCAGGCTTTTGAATTTCTTAAAACTACGTTCGCCTCTGCACCTATTTTACGGCATCCTGTCCCCTCACTGCCCTATATTCTTGAAGTTGATGCTTCGGATATTGGGGTAGGTGCTGTCTTATCCCAAAGAGAGTCGCCTGAAAAGCCATTGCATCCATGCGGCTTCTTTTCTAAACAAATGTCCAAAGCAGAGAAAAATTATGATGTGGGTAATCGCGAATTCCTTGCTATTATTTTAGCACTTAAAGAGTGGAGACATTTGTTAGAAGGAACTAAGGATCCTATCCTCATTTTTACGGATCACAAGAACCTATCCTACCTTAGCAAAGCTAAAAGATTGTCTTCCAGGCAGGCTAGGTGGTCACTATTTTTGTCCCGTTTCAATTTTATTATCACCTATAGGCCAGGTGATCGCAACACTAAAGCAGACGCTCTGTCCAGACAGTTCGAAACTACTGACAAACAGGAGATTGATGTTACTCCTGTCATTCCCCAGACAGGATAATAGCTACTACTATTTTGTCTATTTCCTCGTCCCTCTTGCAGGCCATACAAGCGAAACAAAGCATGGCACCTAGCGAGAGGCCTAATGATAAACTGTTTGTTGATGTTCCTGAGAGACGGGATATTATGTCATTATATCATGATACTAAGACTGCTGGACATCCTGGTATTTCCAAAACGGTGTCAGCTGTTTCTCAGTATTTTTGGTGGGATTCCTTACGAAAGGATGTCACTGACTATATAAGTGCTTGTACTACTTGTGCCTGTATGAAATCCTCCCGTAGAGTTCCTTGTGGGCTGTTGCATCCGTTACCCGTTCCCGAGAGACCTTGGTCTAACCTATCCATGGATTTTATTGTTGAATTACCCCCTTCAAATGGTAACACAGTAATCCTGATGATAGTGGATCGGTTCTCCAAAATGGCTCACTTCGTGTCTCTTCACAAGTTGCCCACATCCAAGGAACTGGCTCATATCTTCGCTAGAGAAGTATTTCGATTACATGGGATTCCTGTATCTATTGTATCCGATAGGGGTAGCCAATTTATTTCCAGGTTCTGGAGGGCCTTTTGTTCAGAAATGGGTATTTCTCTCTCATTTTCTTCCGCTTATCATCCCCAGTCTAATGGGGCTGCTGAACGTGCCAACCAGTCTCTGGAGCAATACCTCCGTTGTTTTGTGTCTCACCATCAGGACAATTGGTCTGACCTGCTTCCTTGGGCTGAATTTGCTCGGAATAACGCCACTCATGATTCTTCCGGCAAGACCCCTTTTTACGTTGTCTATGGCCAGCATCCCGTTGTTCTTCCGACTGCATTCTCCTCACAGGGCATGCCAGTTCTGGATGAGCATTTGGCTGGTTTGCGTAATACTTGGGAGCAGGTTCAGCGTTCTTTGGTGGACTCTGCTACTCGCCAGAAGGCTCAGGCTGACAAGCATCGCAGAGCAGCTCCGTCCTATGTTGTGGGGACAGGGTTTTGCTTTCCACGCGGAATATTCGTCTCCGGGTGCCTTCTATGAAATTGGCTCCCCGCTTCATTGGACCTTATCGTATTATACATAAGGTTAATCCTGTTTCTTATGCCTTAGGCCTGCCTAAGAATCTACGTATTCCTAATGTTTTTCACACCTCATTGTTGAAACCTTTCGTACGCAACCGCTATACCCGGCATACTCCTCCTCCCCCTCCTATCTCGGTGGAGGGTCATGAGGAGTTTGAAGTGTCTGCTGTTCTTGACTCTCGTTTCCTTAGGGGTCGACTTCAGTACTTGGTACATTGGAAGGGTTATGGGCCTGAGGAGCACAGTTGGATTTCGGCTGATGCTGTCCATGCTCCCCGTCTTGTGCGCTCTTTCCATTCTCGTTTTCCTGCCAGGCCTGGTCCTACCCGCCCGGGGGGCGTGTCCTCAGGGGGGGGTACTGTAGCGTTACTTACCTTAACCGGGGGCCGGTCGCGGTCCTCTCTTCAAGCCGCGCGCGGTCCTGCGGCTGCACGAGCCGCGCGCGGCTCATCCGACTGCTTTGGATGGAAGGCGGGCAGTGACCGCGTGAAGCGGTCACGTGTCCCGCCTGAAACTAAGAGCGCGCCGCGAGTCTCGGGCGCGCTCTTAAAGAGACAGTGGGAGCCTAATTGCCAAAAGGCTCCCATTGGCTCCTGTCATACCACACTCCCTATACAATTACCTTTTGGGGGTGTGGAAGTGACAGGAGCCAATCACTTTCGTTTAAAAGCTATTTAAACTTACCTTTTTCCCTTAGCTCGTTGCCCTATCGTGGTTTCTGTTTCAGTTCCCTTTAGCGCTTGTGGTGTTCAGTTGTGTTTTCTCGTATTGACTTTGGCTTCGTATTCTGACTTCGTTTTCGCTTTATCCTTATCTGTACTGTTTGCCGGCTTGCTGTTTTCCGTGTACCAGACCCCGGCTTGTCCTAGTTTACGCTGTCTCTCTGTGCCCTTGACCTCGGTTTGTTCCTGGCTCTGTCTCCTCTCATATACGTCGAGTCCGGCCATTCTAAGGTCCGGTAGACGTATCTCTCCTCTGTATTTGCCTCTGTTTAGCTGGATCCTGCGTGTAGGGGTATATTCTCGTTACACACATACAGTACACATACAGCACCCTCACACACACAGCACGCTCACACACACACACACACACAGCACCTTTACAAACACACAACACCCTCACACACAGCACACTAACAGCACCCTCACAAACACACACACACACACAAACAGCACCCTCACAAATACATGACACCCACACACATCACAGAAACAGCACCCTCACACACACACACACACACACACACACACACATCACACAAACAGCACCCTCACCCAGCACACTAATAGGACCCTAACAAACACACATACAAACACCCTCACACACAGCACACTACCAGCACCCTCACACACACAGCACCCACACAAACACCCTCACCCACATAGCACACTATCAGCACCCTCACACACACATCACACACTAACAGCACCCTTACACACACAGCACCCTCACACCACCTTCACACAGCACACTAACAGCACACACACAGCAGTGTATGTATGTGTGTGTGTATGTATATATATATATATATATATATATATATATATACATACATATATATACATACATATACATGCGGCGTGTGTTTGTGCTTTAGGGTGCACACACTAATGCAATAGGCTGCGCACGTCTATGAGTACTACCCACCTGTAATACGGACTCGTATTGCTGGTTCTGCTGATTCCTAGTAAGAGAGGGCCCCCTTCAAGCCTAACTGTCAGAAGTTCTCTGTCGAGTGCAGCAAGCCTCTCTTATGGATGATGTATACTTAAGCTGTTTCTTTAAGCCGATATCTAGATATTTGAGCTGTTCATTTAAGTCTCTGTTAGTCAATAAAGTTTGTATTGATCATTTACAAGTACTTGATGTCAATGTCTTTCCCTTTCTCAAATACTCAATTCACTCATCCCGAATAGGGTTTTGGTGCCCACCAATATCTTTAAAAACCTTAGGGTAATTGATTATTGCATTTTGATATTGGTGCTTCGTGAATTTAATGATTAGGCAAAACACCATCTCTTTTCTACCTAGAATATTTTTTAAATTTCCACCTCTCCAGGGGATTTTACACTTCTGTATACCAATGAATTTTAAATGTGTGGGGTAATTCTGGAGTTTACAGAAGTGTTTAGAAACAGTGTGTTTGTCGTAACCCCTGGAGATGTTGCGGCAATGTTCTGCTACCTTGGTTTTAAGACATCTAGATGTCATCCCTACATACTGGAGTCCAGAAGGGCACTCCAGCATGTAAATAACATTTTTAGTGTTACAGGTAATGAAGTCTTTGATCTTATAGTTTTTTTTTTTGTAATACTGGAGGAAAATTCAGTGATTTTATTTTGACATGTGTTGGCAGTAGTTCTGCATACAATAAATTTTTTACATCTGAAGAAACCTTTCATATTAGACAGGGTGGATATTTCGTTGTGGTCAAACCTAATAAAATTATTGGTTAAAATAGATTTAAAATTAGGGGCTCCTCTAAAAATTATGTTGCGTTTATTGGGGATGATTTTTTTTAAAACGTCATCTAGGCCCTGAGGAGTCAGCATAGCTAAACGGACAAGGGCACATGTATGAGTGTGGGGATGGTGCTAGTGATTGGCTATATGTGTGTAGGGGAGTAGTTATGGGTTTGTAGTGGGGCAGGGATCATCTTACCTCAGTGCCTTTTGGGATTCTGGCCAGCAAACAACTTCCCACCCACCCTAATTTTCTGTTTTTGTTCCGTCACAGCTAGCGGGGAGCGTGTCCTTGCCAACAGGGTTGGGGAGCAGATGGAATGTCAGGAGATGGACATGGTGGGTCTCAACCTCCCCTGCTCTGTAAGGTAAACTTTTAAGTTACCGAATAGGACGTGCCCACCGAGCAAAAAGCCGGCTGGTGGTAGAGCATTTAAGATGATGGGAATTTTTGGTTTGGACGAGGGGGGAGGCGAGACACCAGTGGGTAAAGTTTTGGTACATAGGCACCTGGTTAAGATCGTTGGCAAGGACGGTTATTTAAGTTGGAGGCTGTAGGGCAATAAGTGTAATTTATATGTTAATTATGGTATGTATATATATTTATCTGTTTATTTATATTTGAATTAAAGAAAAAGAATAAAGTTCGGATGAGTCCTACAGTTGTAAGTTTAATAAATGCTGTGGCCTGTTTCATCCAATATTCGTTGTTTGTCATTATTGGGGGGAGAATTGGGGTAGTCTCCTTACTCTTAGTCGCACCACATTCCCCGCTACGTACATACATGATGCAAGATATGCCAATGTTTGTTGACAATTTTCTTAATGTCTTTGCTTTTGTTATTAAAATAAAAAATAATGGGGATAGAGGGAGCCTCATTGTTTTTTTTCTTTATAGACCAGAAGATCGTTTCTATTTCGGATTTTAATTTCATCAATAGTGGTTTCCAAGTTTTATACTGGATAGTTTTTTCTAAGAACTTGTGTCTTTTAACATAGTAGTTTGTTGTTCAAAATCTTCTATTTTAGAGCAATTTCTTCTTAGCTGCAAAAACTGGCTTTTCGGGTCACTATCGAGCCAGGGCTTGTAGTGGCAGCTGGTTTGGTCTATTACTGTGTTTGTACACACTTTAAAAAAAAAAAAAAATGTTCTGGTGTTTAGTTCCCCATTTTGAATAAAAATTTGGATATCTAAAAAATTGATTGTCTCTTTATTATATTATTATATACAGTCTCCAGCTGCATTCCCACCAAGCAATAAAGTTAGTCGATCTTTTGCTGGTTTAAAACTGGGCATTGATGATTCTTCTTTTGCAATGTAGCTTCTCGATAGCATGCAGTTTCATCCACACTGAAAACTTGTGATGGCGAGTAATTTCTATCTATCAATATTTCTGCCAACTTGGAAGGAAATAATTTAGCTGCTTCTGTATCAGAACTTGCAGATACACCAAAGATTTTTATGTTAAGCAAACCAGCTCATTGTTTGTAACTATCAAACCACCCACTGCTTGCAGAAAATGTTTCTTCAATGCTGCCTCCTTTTCTCTGTTTCAACATCTCAAAAAGTGATAAAGCTTTAGCACAAATGGTAGCATAGGTAACAGGCACATGGAGCCGTCCAGTTTGATCACTTATCCATGCTATTAAAAGTTTTTCCATATGAGGAATATGGCTTTCATTTTCCTTTGTTCGTATCCAAGTATCCTAACTATAAGATAAGACTAGGGAGTAATGAAAGTATTTAGAAAATTGGGCAGACTAGATGGGCCGAATGGTTCTTATCTGCCGTCACATTCTATGTTTCTATGTTTCTAAGTAAAATGCAGGGATTGCACATTTTTTACTTCCTTTAAAGGATCACTATAGTGTCAGGAAAACAAATCGGTTTTCCTGACACTATAGTACCCTGTGGGTGCACCCACCCTCAGGGTCCCCCTCCCGTGGTGCTGAAGGGGCTTAAATCCCTTCAGTTACTCACCTTCTTCCACCTCTGGGCTCCCTTACCTCTCCTCCCCCGCGGACGTCAGCTCCCTCGTCTGACGTCAGCGGAGCGGAATGCACATGCGCAGCAGTGCCACGCGCGCATTCAATGTGTCCATAGGAAAGCGTTTTACAATGCTTTCCTATGGACGCTCTGCGTGATGGAGGCATTAAATGCCTCCAGCGTCGCAGATGCGCCTCTAGTGGCTGTCTTCCGGAAGACAGCCACTAGAGGCTGGCTTAACCCCAAATGTAAACATAGCAGTTTCTCTGAAACTGCTATGTTTACATCAGGCAGCGTTAACCCTAGAGGGACCTGGCACCCAGACCACTTCATTGAGCTGAAGTGGTCTGGGTGACTATAGTGTCCCTTTAAATATTTTTTCTTTGTCTTTTAAAATTGTACTCACAGTTGATTTGCTTAGTGAATATTTGGTAGCTAATTCTTTAGTGGAATTTCCAGCATCATGGTCTGTTATGATGTTCAATTTTGTTTCCAGTGTTATGGCTTTTCGTTTTTTTTGTATTTTCATTACACGCACCATCTGTAGCATCCTTTCTTTTTGGTGCAATTATGAGTCCTCCTTCTTCACTTACTTCTTTCTCAACTCCCCTCTCTCCTTTATCACTTTAATTTTCCTTCTTGTATTTCACACCTCTCTTACGCCTTCCTCCTTCTTCGCTTTCTCCTTATCCAACTTCCCTCTCTCCTTCATTACTTTCCTTTTCCTCCTTCATTTTTACAGCTGTCAATCTCTTTCTCTCTTACTTTAAGGCTTGCACCTCTTTTCCTCCTTTTATGTTTAGATCTTTCAAGAGCTTTCTTCCTTCTCCCCTTTCTTCAGGCTCTTCACCCCTCCTTCTGCTCCTTGCTATGCTGCCTGCCAAAATATGGTACAATGTCAGACACACACACTTCATATGACTAGACTGCTTAACCCCTTAAGGACCAAACTTCTGGAATAAAATGGAATCATGACATGTGACACATGTCATGTGTCCTTAAGGGGTTAAAGGACAGACACTATCAGGCTTACATTTCCAGATCTGACTAAAACATATAATTAAAAACCCTAATACCAGGATGTAATGCATTCTGACATGCCCATAATGCTCATAATAACTCTAAATAATAAATCATTGGAACCCCCTGCAGAGTCTGCAATCAGTACAGTACCTGGTAGGCATCCTCACATGCCCATGATGCCCATAAATAACGTTACAGTAATAATCATTGGAACCCCCTGCAGAGTTTGCAATTCGTATAGTACCTATAGCAGTAGTACTGTACAGTATAATTCCAGGCATAATTACAGTCCCAAACACACTCACATCAATCTCAGACACACATACACACACAAACTCATTTTTTACACTTTACATACAGTACTTGCCAACGTTGGGGACAGGAGGAAGGAGTGGGAGGATAAACCAATTAATCAATTGTTTTCATTTGTGATGTACCCAGCTGTACAACGTTATGTCATTCTGATGATTACTTTTCTTGGACTTTCTAAAAAGGTGGACACCAGAAAATACTCTTGTGACAGTGGTCTTAAATCAGGTCTGCCCCTCAGAATTCAGAATTACTGGCAAGTATGTAACTTACCTTTCTTTCCTCTTCACTCTTTCTGACTTCTCCTGGCCACAAATTCTTATTTTCAGCCCTTCAAAGCTTGCTTCGTGGTCCACATCCACGGATCGCAGAAACAAAATGGCAGCGAATATTAAATGGCGCGGCATCCGGATTGCGTTCATAAGGTGGGAAAACGTTAAGCGGGAGTTTGTAAACCGGGACATGCCTGTAATTCTGTAGTGCTTCAATTAATATATTTAGAGGAGATGATTTACTACACAGTGTTTCCTGTATAGATATTTCCAGTATCTTATAATATTGTAAAGCGCTACAGAATATGTTATCGCTATATAAATACCAGTAATAATAATAATTCAAAAATAATCAATAGTCCTTTTGATGCATAGTTACATCTAAAAAAAATATATATATATCTATAATTTTAACGATAAACGACCCATTATTTAATGTTGCCTAGACAAAGACAAATATGAGATAATAAATCACAAAACAAGTTCAATTATATAAGAAAAATGCTTTAATTAGGATTTGTAAATGAGAGGTTAATACAACTTATATAAAAATACACTGATTTCACACAAGGTAGAGCATTTCTCACTTTTTAAGCAAGCTATACTTAGATGTAGCTCAGCAATTTCTACTGAACAGCCGTTGATGAGAACATAATTAATTAAGTTCAGCACAGTGGTGATGGCGGGGGTTAGTACACACCTCTAAACTTGTTTCTTAAATGTAGAATTTAAAATAACAGAGGATGAGCTAAGCAAGGCATCTCAAATTATTATTATTATTATTATGATATTTATAGAGCGCCGTCAAATTCCGCAGCACTTTACACTGGGTGGACGAACAGACATGTAGTTGTAACCAGACAAGTTGGACACACAGGAACATAGGGGTTGAGGGCACTGCTCAGTGAGCTTACATGCTAATTTAGTCGAAGCACCAACAAGAATTGATGCTTGTCTGGTTCTTGTCATAACTAATAATGTTGAAAACTTTCAAGTTAGGGAGCATTTGAGAAATAGTGACCATACTATGGTATAATTTGAGATTAACTAGAAAAACAAAATATGGGCTGTACAAAAACGCTTAATTTCAAATAGGCTAATTTCAATAGGATAAGGGCATCTTTACAACATATTGACTGGCAGGAACTATTCACTGACAAAAGCACAGAGGATAAATGAACTGCATAGTTACCAACATTTGGAAAAAATGTCCAGGGACACTTTGCAACACAGCTATCAATTACTACCTTGAAAATTTACCCCACCCACTGCTGCAAAGCTCTGCCCACTATGTCCAACCCACATAATCTCCGCCCATTTATAGTGCGGATTACAGAGTCTACTTAATAAAGAGAGAATTATAGGAAATTGAGATGGTCATTTTAAACTTAAGGCCAAAGTAGTCGAGTTGGAAAAGTTCTCCCATTCAGCTGCACTATTTCGACCTGAAGTTTGAAATTCTCATCTGAATTTCTTGCAATTCTCTCTTTATTGAGTAGACCTTTATAACACCAAGTTCCCACCAACAGTACCAGCATCCTTGGTATGCGATAGATACATTCGCAGCAGAGCATCTGTATCAGGCAGGTACATATTAACACTTTACTGTGAGTTGGGTATCAGTGGTGACACTGTCAGTACAAATATAGAAAGATCTTGTGCAGATGTGCTTCATTCAGAGAGTTGTATCTACACCATAGAACATACATTAGTTCATAAACAGACAAGCTCACTGACACACACAAGCTTACTTCAGACAAGCTCACTGACACACACATGCTCACTAAATGCAAGTTCACTGACACACACATGCTCATTAAATACAAGTTCACTGACACACACAAGCTCAGTAAATACAAGCTCACTGACACACACATGCTCACTGACACACACAAGCACACTAAATGCAAGCTCACTGACACACACACGCAGTACCATCTTAACAGCGTTATAGGCCCCCGTGCAAAGCAGTGCACTGTGGCCTTTCCTACACAACAACTCACAGGGAAAAAAAGAACAACAAATTATCGATAAAATTAAGCTTATATTTATTGGTACCTCCAACAAATGCAAAACATACATACACACAGACTGCTGAATACAGTCACAGACTGATCAACACATTCACACATCGACTGCTGAATACACGCACACACCCACTGTTGAACACACACAGAGGCTGAGTACATACTGAGTACAGACAGACTGCTGAGTACACACAGACAGACTGCTGAGTACATACACACACTACACTGAATGCACACAAACACACGCACAGAGACTGCTATACACACACAGACTGCTGAATGCACACAGGCTGCTGAATACACAGACACAGACTGCTGAATACATACAGACTGCTGAATACACCCACACAGATTGCTGAATACACACACACTGCTGAACCCACACAGACTGTTTTATACACACACACAGAAACTGCTGAATACACACACAGTGCAGTGAGGGGTGTGTAGGGGTGCAGTGTGTGTGTGAGGGTTGCAATGTGTAAAGGGTGCTGTGTGAGGGGGGAGGGGTGCAGTGTATGTGAAGGGTGCAGTTTGTGACAGGTGCTGTGTGTGTGTGTGTGGGGGGGGGGGTGCTGTGTGTGTGAAGGGTGCTGAGAGTGTGTAAGGGGTGCCGAGAGTGTGTGAGGGGTGCTGTGTGTGTGATGGGTGCTGTGTATGTGTGTGAGGGGTGCTGTGTGCAAGTGGTGCTTTGTGTGAGGGTTGCTGAGTGTGTGAGAGGGGTGCTGAGTGTGTTTGAGGGGTGCTGTGTATGTGTGTGTGTGAAGGTGCAGTGTGTGTGAGGGGTGCTGTGTATGTCAAGGGTGCTGTGTGTGTGTGTGTGTGTGTGTGTGAAGGACGCTTTGTATGAGGGGTGCTGTTTGTGTGTGTGTGATGGGTGCTGTGTGTGTGAGGGCTTCTGTGTGTGTGAGGGGTACAGTGTGTGTGTGTAAGGTGTGCAGTGTGTGTGTGAGGGATGCTCTTTGTGTGTGTGTGTGTGTATGTGTGTGTGTCAGAGGTGCTGTGTGTGTCAGGGGTGCAGTGTGTGTGTGTGTGAGGGATGCTGTGTGTGAGGGTTGCTTTGTGTGTGTGTGTGTGTGTGTGAGGGGTGCTTTGTGTGTGTAACGGGTGTTGTGTCCTGGTGGTCCGGTGGTGGTGAGTTGTCTATAGCCTGCAGATCCTGTGGGTGCAGGCTGTCTTCACTCCTCCCATGAGCAGAATGCTGTGTCAGAGCATTGCCATAGTAACACACAGCAACGCTCTGCACAGCATGCTCGCAGGAGGGGTACTCTGCCTCCCAGATCCTCCCACCCTCCCTATCACTAACGAAGTGTCAGGATCGTGACAGGGATCCAACACGCAGAATACAAACAGGAGATAGGTACGTATACCGGACCTTAGAATGGCCGGACTAACGTAAGGAGAAAGCAAAAGAATGGTCAGAGACAAGCCGAGGTCGAGGGAACGAGAGATCAGGTAAGCGAGAGACAAGCCGAGTCAAAAGGACAAGAGAGGAAAGCAGGGTCAAAATACAAGCCGAGTCAGGAACCAAAAGACAATAGAGGTAATTGCACTGAGTGACCAGACTAGCTAGAACCACGACAGGGCAATGAATCATTCCACAGAACCCTTTTTTATACCTTGGCTCTTTAACTGTTGGCTCCGCCCCCAACGAGTCCTGATTCGTTGTTCGGCACTTGGTTGCCGTGATTGACGGGTCGGAACGTGATTGCCGTCATGACGTCGGCTACTGAGCGCCGCGTCATAAAAGGAGGCGGAGCTATCGCGGCCGGCGTGTAAACGACCGGGAGGAGTGCAAGGATCGGGTGAGTCAGCCCCCCTGGGAGGATGGACGTCTAGGTGTCTAACCTCCTCCGAGGTAGACACCAAAGGTAACCTGACACGAAGGTCCTTTGGGCAGTTGAGGGAAATCTTTGATCTTCTCACCGGCCCTAGATGGCCCACAGCAAGAAAGCAGGTCTCCTCTGTCAGCCTGGGCACAAGGGCATCACGGTGGGGCCCCCATGCTTGTGGAGCCCCCTGGTAACTGCCCAGTGTGCCCATGCGGAATGATGACACTGCACACAAGCTCACTAAATACAAGCTCATTGACACACAAGCTCACTACAGACAAGCTCCATGACACACACACAAGCTCACTTAAGAAAAGCTCCCTGACACACAAACACACACACAAGCTCACTGACACACACACAAGCTTTCTCACGAGCAGGTGCATACACACACACACAAGGCTGAGTATATCAAGCCCACCTGGTTCTGGAGGCTGTTGCTGGGAGGTCAGGTAGCCATCTTGGACCTCTTCCTCCTGCAGCATGGTGTGCTGCTTAGCAGGGGTGGAGCTTTTGCGAGGGAGGTGGAGCTAACACACGTGGGCAGAGCTTGCGTCGTGGGGGCAGAGCCTGCGGCCGTGAGGCAGAGCAACAGTCTGTGTGTCGGGGAAGCTACTGGGAATTCGGAAGGGAAACTGTCAGTGCTCCTCTGGCCCCAGCAGCCTCAATGCAGCCCCCAGCACCTCCCTCGTTAACTCCCTCGGACTGTAACAGGGAAAATAATGAAAGCGCATGGCCCAGCAAGTTGCCAGGATTGTCCTGAGAGAGTTAATTGGCCGTGACAGACTCCAGCATGCCGCGACAGTTGTCAACCATGTAAAAGCTCGTCAAATTCTGCAAAATTATATTTCTCAAAACATACCATTGGTAAAAAAATATAAAATAACCAAATTAAAACCCATTGCTTAGTAAAAGCTTCAATCAAATAAAAAAATGATAAAAAAGGTCATTTAAAAAAAATTCAATCAGAGGGGTCAATAGCGTGTAAACGACCGGGAGGAGTGCAAGGATCGGGTGAGTCAGCCCCCCTGGGAGGATGGACGTCTAGGTGTCTAACCTCCTCCGAGGTAGACACCAAAGGTAACCTGACAGTACCCCCCCTCTCAGAAACGCCCACCGGGCGGAAGGAACCGGGGCGAGACGGAAAACGAGCATGAAATGCCCGGAGGAGACGAGGGGCATGCACATTTTCATGGACCACCCAAGACCTTTCTTCAGGCCCATACCCCTTCCAGTCAACAAGATATTGCAACCTCCCCCGAGAAATACGAGAATCGAGAATGGATTTGATTTCATATTCCTCCTGACCCTCAACCTGGACAGCGAGAGGGGAGGACTCAGCGGAGGAAAATCTGTTGCAAACCAAAGGCTTCAACAAAGAAACATGAAAAGAGTTAGGGATGCGCAGGGCAGGCGGAAGGGCAAGACGATACGCAACCGGGTTAATCCGACACAGAACCTTGTAAGGGCCTATGTAACGAGGGGCAAATTTCATGGAAGGAACCTTCAAGCGGATGTTTCTGGTACTCAACCACACCCTATCACCCGGGGCAAAAACCGGAGCCACCCGTCTCCGTTTGTCAGCGTGTCGTTTGAACACCATGGAATTCTGAAGAAGAATTCGTCGAGTCTGATCCCACAACTTTCTCAGATTGGCGACATGAACATCAACCGACGGAACCCCTTGGGAAGGGGAAACCGACGGAAGAATGGAAGGATGAAAGCCATAATTCAAGAAAAAGGGGCTAGAACGAGTAGAATCACAAACGAGATTGTTGTGTGCAAACTCTGCCCAAGGAATCAGACCAACCCAATCGTCCTGGTGTTCAGAAACAAAACAACGCAAATATTGTTCAATCTTTTGGTTGGTGCGTTCGGCAGCTCCGTTGGACTGGGGATGATAGGCAGATGAGAAATTCAACTTGATGCCTAAGTGAGAACAGAAAGACTTCCAAAAGCGGGAAACAAATTGGGAACCTCTATCAGAAACAATTTCAGAGGGAATACCATGTAAACGAAAAATCTCCCTCGCGAATATCTCAGCTAATTCGGGAGACGAGGGCAGTTTAGGCAAGGGCACGAAATGAGCCATTTTAGTAAACCTGTCAATCACCGTGAGAATAACAGTATGTTTTTTAGAAACAGGCAAATCGACAATGAAGTCCATAGCCAAACACGACCATGGTCTCTCGGGAATTTCTAAGGGATGCAAAAGTCCACAAGGGAGCGCGTGAGGTTGCTTAGTCTTCATACAGACAGCACATGCCCTGACGAAATCCCTTATATCCTTACGAAGGGAAGGCCACCAGAAATCTTTAGAAATCAGGGAACACGTTTTGCGTATGCCGGGGTGCCCAGCAATTTTACTGTCATGAAAGCAATGCAGCAGTTCCACTTGGAGCTCAGGAGGAACGAAGTATCGATCCCCAGGAACAGGTTTGGGAGCTAGATGTTGTACTTTCTTGATCTCAGCAAGCAGCGGCGAGTGTATCCTGACACATGTGTTGGCAATAATATTACACTTGGGAACGATAGAAGACAAAGCTGCTTCAGACACCGTAGAAGGTTCATGTTGACGGGACAATGCATCTGCCTTAGAGTTCTTAGAACCAGGTCTATAAGTGAGCACGTAATTGAAATGTGTCAGAAACAAGGACCAACGAGCTTGCCTGGCGGACAAGCGCTTGGCCTCCCCTATGTAGGACAAATTCTTGTGATCTGTCAAAATAGTAACCGGGTATAATGTCCCCTCCAACAAATGTCTCCATTCCTTTAAAGCCATAATGACCGCTAACAGTTCCCTATCACCAATGTCATATCTACTTTCAGGCCCAGATAATTTCTTGGAAAAAAACCCACATGGATGTAACGGTTTATCCAAACCTAGCCTTTGGGACAAGATAGCGCCTATACCTGTCTCCGAGGCGTCAACCTCGAGTAGAAAAGGCAAAGATGTGTCAGGATGAACTAATATCGGTGCTGAGGCAAAATGTTCTTTGAGTGTTTTGAAAGCAGAGAGAGCCTCTGTGGACCAAGTCTTGGTATCAGCACCCTGTCTAGTCATATTGGTAATAGGAGCAATAATAGAAGAGTAACCTTTAATGAAGCGCCTATAATAATTGGAGAATCCGATAAATCTCTGAATGGCCTTGAGTCCCCTGGGCAATGGCCAATCTAAAATCGATTGGAGTTTAATGGGGTCCATCCTAAATCCGTCTCCAGAAATAACGTAGCCAAGAAAGTTTATCTGAGATTGGTCGAAGCTACACTTTTCCAATTTGCAGTACAATCCATGTTGTAACAGTTTGCGCAGTACCCTTCTGACTTGTCTGTGGTGAGTCTCAATCTCTCTAGAGTGTATTAGTATATCATCCAAATATACTATAACGCATTCATGCTGAAATTCCCTAAGAACCTCATTAATAAGGTCCTGGAATACTGCAGGTGCATTGCAAAGCCCGAA